CCTTTCTCCTTATCCTCCACCCACATTTTTCTTGAATGAATGCCTGCTTGCTTGCTTATAGCCTGTCTCTCTGGATACAAACCAAACATCCAGATGCTAAAGCAATTTGATTAATAGACCCTCTCCTCTTCTTTCTTCTCCTTCTTGTTACCTCCCAATGCACTCTGCTTATAGGGTATTAGGACTGACATACAGCACTTCTCATATACCCAGAATACTCATATTCATATTATTAGAAATAGACTATGCCAGTGGCAAAACCCATTACAAAAGGTAGAGTGGGCTCTGGGGGAGGACTGGTGGCATGATCTTCATCATGACTTTTGCACCCCTGTGTAACAAGCACAGGGAGCTCTATCTTCCATGGTTGGCTCTGTAGTGAGTAGGCTAGTTGGAAAGCACAGGAGCTGAGATTTTGGGGGACAAATAATTGATTTCATTGAATTCATTCAGGTCATAAAGATCTCTTTTTGCAAAAAATAGCAAAGGCTATTTTATTTTCTGACTCAACAGATGTAGAAGACAGAAATTACTGGTGGCTATTTCCAAACAGCTCCCTCCTCAGGGGAAAGTAATAGAACCTGGAGAAAGTGAGAGTCCTAAGCTCAGGATGTGCCCTTTTAACCACACCATAATCACCTGCATGTGTCCTCTCCTGCCCCTCTTAGTCTGATTTCTTCTCACACAGCAGGCCCTTCCCACCCTTCCCACCCTCTCAACCTGCTCAGCCTGCTCCGTTAGCCACAGGCTATTTGCTGTTGTAGTTACTGCCAACTGGGCTGGTGGAATGCCAGGCCTGGAGGAAGTAGAGGGTCCTGGCATGAGCATGGACTGTGCATCCCACAGGTCAGCTCCTGCTCCTCCCACAAGGCTACAGGTTTTTGTCTTAGGCAGCTCAGGTTGCTGTAACAAGAACGCCATAGACTGGGTGCTTAAAAAAACAGATGTATACCTCACGGTTCTGGAGGCTGGCAAGCCTGAGACAGGGCACTAGCACAGACAGGCTCTGATGAGAGTCTTCTTTCTGATTTCCTCCCATGGAGTGGGGGAGGGGTGGGCAAAGCCAGGTCTTTCCTATCTCTTCTTATAAGGCATTAATTTCATTATGAGGACTCCACACTTTTGATCTAATCACCTCCCAAACTTGCATCTCTACATACCATCACATAGGAGACTGGAGTTTCAACACGATTTTTGGAAAACACAACATTTATTCCATAATAACCTCCATTAAAAGTGGTATGACATTAGAGGTCACTGTGGGTCTGCCAGGTACCTGGTTAGCAAAAGGTGGTACATATTGCGACCTGGGCACGGCCTCCCATATTGTAGAAAGGTGGCAGGGAAGGAAATGGAAGGCCACAGAGTCCTTTAAAACTAGGTTTGAAGCAGCTTGTTCAGAACATTCTAAAAACCTTTGGGCTTTTGTTTACTTGGATCAAAGGAAGAAAACCAGGTCTTGCCTTACAACTGTACAACATAACAAACCTTGAGATAGACAAATCTCATAGTGATTGTATCTCCAGGAGCAGAGAGGCCTGATTGAGGCTTTCAAGCAGAAGCCTATGCAAGATCCACTGGACAGGGCAGCAGCCTGCTTCACAGGCTGCAGAGTCTCCCAGGATTGGCTTCACTATACAGGGTTGCTATTCCTACCCAAGGATGGACCTCTTGGCCTCCTCTTGATCCCAGCATGATGTACTATAGGATGTAGAAGCCCTGGCCTGACCTTCAGAGCCCTGGTTTAAGCTTAAGTCCAAAGGAAGGTTGTAGAGAGTGAGTTTGTCCTTTAGGTGAAGGGAAGCATGGGCACTGACTCCCTTACACTGACCTCTCTCTTCTTAGGTTTTTAGGTTCCAGCCTGAGGATATGGCAATTCTGTCTTCCTTTGAGTTGATTCCTGTTGCTAGTGACCAGATCACAGTTGTAGCTACAGAAAAGGTAAGAGGAATTCATGGCTATGTTTTTCTCACAGAATTAGGAAAGGCCTTATAGGAAGGAAAAAGCTCAGCTGCTGGGGTCTAGGAAAGATGAACCTGAGGTGGTGGGGCTAGGGAATGTGAAGCCAGGGAGTCACGTAGCTGACACAGGTGAGCCCTAGGGGATGAAACTGTGGACGTCAAACCTGAGAAAATAGGGGCCAAAGTGACTTGAGCACAAAGGCTGGCGCCTAGAAGACAGGTGAAACCCATTACTCTCTCTGTTAGTTTGGGGATAGCCTGTTAGGTGTGATGTGTGCACACTTGTCTTTGAGAATCTTTAGCTTCACCTCTGCAGCTAGCAAGGAGCAAGCATGTGCCTTCTCCATGACCTTGCTCAAGCGCTGGCAGAGTGGGAATCAGGAAACAGCGCTGCGCACTTGCCCTATAGGTGCGAATCCTGTAAATCTTGTGGACATTGACCAGGCTCTGCGATTTGTAAGTGGATTACCCGAATGTCCCCAGTAGGGGGCTTTGAATGATTTCCCTTTCGGAAAGTCACCAAAGAAAATGTGGCACAGGTTTGCGCTCTCTTTTGGGTGGAACTTACGGGAGTAAAGTCTGGAAAAGATGAGACAGTGAAATAAAATCGCCCACACATACCCCACTACAGACTGGCTGTGAATGCAGGTTGGGCGGAGACTAGCTACCGAAGTTAGGCAGGTTGTAGGCCAGAAGTGAAAGCTCGGGAATGCAGGGGCGACTGCTTCCTATCTCAGCGGAGCTGTAGAAGGAGGGGATGGGCAGCTCAGATCACCAACAGGCAGGCTGTTGTCTTCTCATTTCCACTGTTCAGCTTTTGCAGGGCTTTTATATGACTCCAATTCATGTTCTTCCTGTTCATCCTCTTGCTATAACAAGAGTAAGATATGCAAAACCCATCGGACTAACTTGCTTACTTATTTCTTGGGAGGAATCAGATAAATTAGAGCAGTGATTTACAAACGTTTGCATTACACTCACAGTAAGAAATTTTGAAAATTGAATGGCATTCATTCTACTTGCTTATGGGCATGCTGAGGTTCACTTCTAAGCATATGTGGAAGAATTGAGTGTTTAGGTCTGGTTTGCCAAATTTAATCCCTGCCCACAACAGCTACCTGTCCCATCAGCGGAGATTCTCCTCTTCTTACATTCTGGGTTCCAGAGAGTGTACCTTTCACCTTCCATATTGAGGTAGACTACAGCCTCAGCATGTGTCTTGACCCTCCTGGGTTATGAGACAAGGTCTTTGTTTTTGTTTTCTGTGCTGGGGATGGAACCTAGGAACTTGGCAAGCTATACTCCCAGCCCCAGACAAGAATTTGCTCCTAAACTTGGCTTTTGCAGGGGAACAGACTGATACAAAGACTGCTGTTTCAGTGCAGGTGAGGTTCAAGAAGCTAAGAGAAAGGAGAAAAGACAAGAGATCAATCGGCTCTGGAAACCAGGACCTCAGAGTTCTCTTGTCCCTCCATTCCACTCTACTTTAGAGAAGGGATTGATCCAGTATTTGGGACAGGAACTCATTCAGCAGGAGGAAAGGGAGAAACAAGAGACCAGATTTACTCTGGAAAATCTTTGCCACTTTAGGCAAGTGCAGTAGACTGTGACATAGGAGGGGACTTAGTGATGGCACTCAGAAGCACCAACATGCCTTAAACCTTGACAGCTTTATCACAGACACAAGGGCATCGTTTTAGAATGCATAGCACCCAAGTCTGGCATCCTATGATCTATCCTTCATCCTGGAAAGAGTCACTTCAGTCAAGAGGACCATCCTCAGGGATCATATTACTGTTCTCAATGTTCACTTTAGGTTTGCCTTGAAGGATCTATTACCCTGGTTAAGCCAGAAACACAGCTTGCACTTGAAACAGTAGAAAGAATGTTCAGCCTTGGACAGAATTTATATAGCATGCCAGGGGTACTGTGCCCCATGTTATGTACCTCTGTATGTGATGTGCACTTTCTTCCCCACAGTGGCTTCCCTGTGGTCTGTTTTACAGCTTCCTTGATATTAAGTACTCTGAACATGGAAAATTTCCAATTCTTAAAAAATCTACATATGTTTGATATGCTTTTCATTATTGAGACAGGAAATCTTAAGCGGATGCTTAATAATGGATAAGGCCATATCTTAGCATCAACCTTGGCTTATGCGAATTGACATTATCGGTCAGTATCACAGCCTTTTCATTAAAATGATCAATGAATAATGTATCAACTTAGTTTAAACCTTCAGATATATTTTCAGACAGAAATATTCCAAGAATGCAAGTCAGGTATATTTCTCAGATAAATAAAAGTCGGGGCATTGCGAACAGGGAAATTCCCTGTTCTCAGGTTTCCTGAGGTTGAAATCCAGCGCGCGCGTCATTAATCATTCATTGGGGTAGGTCCTTCAGTCAATGGCAGCTCTGAGTAAGCTGAAGCGAGCCTTTAGTTAATCCTTCCTGCCAAGGGGATCTTGGGGCGAGAGAGGACAACTGGGCAGCCAGTCACTTGTGTTGGTGCCCAAATCCAACACCCCTACCCTGGGTCTGAGGGCTCTCCCTCGCGCGCGTGTGTAACAGCACAACTACCCATCAGAACACAGTCCCAGAAGTAAAAACAAATTAAGCATAATGTTCAGCTGCGATCAAGAGTTTGTAACCGGAAAGCAGCTCAAGTCCTAGCTTAATGATCCAGGGTGGCTTTTCAAATGCTGAATCAACCCATTCCTTAGCTCTTTAATGAATCAGTAACCAGCATTTTCTCCCAACCGCGCCACACCAAAAGCCTTTCCAAGTTGTGCTGCGAATCCCTGTTGGGTTCCCGCGGAAATCACTTGAAGCTGTCCGAAGGGTCCCCCGGGGAGGGGCAATCTACTGGGGTCTGCTAGGCAAAGGTGAGAAACCTGAAATTCGGGTCTCGGGTAGGCAAGAGTGTCTTGCTGGGACCCGAGTGCGCTAGAGACGTGGAAGAGAACGAAAACCCATTTCCACGTTTCGACCCTTGGCTCCGGTCGGTGTCCCTGAAGGACTGAACTGCTGGCGCGGAGCTGAATCCTGCGCGGCGTTGGCCCCAGTTGCGGGGGGGCTGTGAGGCGCGTGAGAACTGCTGGGGTTCTCGGCCCTGGTGTGGGCGCACCCAGCGTCCGGGGTGCAGCTTCTCTCAGCCTGGCTTCTCCTCCCACTCACTCTCTCCCATCTCCTCCCTCCTTCAACCCCCGCCCCCGGGACGGCTAGGCTCCCTCCCCGCACCGGCCAGTGAGTACACAAAGCGGCGGGTGAGGGGAAGCTTCGCAGGCGTGCACAGAGCAGTGAGATCACTGGCGTTATAAATATCCCGGTGCCAGCGCCGAGATCCGCTCCGGTGGCCTCTCTCTCTCCCCCCACTCCCTCTCTCTTCCCCGAGGCTATGTCCACCCCGTGCGGCGAGGGGGGCAGCGCCAGAGGCACTCAGCCGCGCGGGGGCTACAGAGCCCAGGAGCAGCCCAACAAGATGCACTTAGGACCCCCGCGACTGGAAGAATGAGCTTGTCCTTCCTCTTCCTCCTCTTCCTCAGCCACCTGATCCTCAGCGCTTGGGCTCACGGGGAGAAGCATCTTGCCCCCAAAGGGCAATCCGGACCCGCTGCCACTGATAGGAACCCGGGAGACTCTGGCAGCCGCCAGAGCACTAGTGGCACGACGTCTTCCAGGTCTTTTCTTGCCTCTTCTTCCTCCCCAGCGGCTTCTCTGGGCAACCAAGGAAGCGGCTTGGAGCAGAGCAGTTTCCAGTGGAGCCCCTCGGGGCGCCGGACTGGCAGTCTCTACTGCAGAGTGGGCATTGGTTTTCATCTGCAGATCTACCCGGATGGCAAAGTCAATGGCTCCCACGAAGCCAATATGTTAAGTAAGTTGCTTGATCGCCTACAGCACATGTCCTAGGCGGGCTATGGGAGGTTCCAGAGGGACAACCAGTATTCTTTGGGCCACGGGAGCACCTTCTGGAGCCCCATCTCCTGGTACGCAGCTGGTCCTGAGAACAGCCGGGTGGGTTGGGTGTACGTGCATCTACAAGGCACATTCATACGCACTCTTCTCCTGGGCTGGGCATGAGGAATGGCGATTCCTGAGGTGAAGGTTACCCAGAGACGGGTGCCCAGACAGGCACCTTGTTTCCAGGATGCTGGGCCCCCAAGCTGATCTTCCGGCCATGCCTTCATAAAATCCCCCCAAATTTCTTACTTTTCCGTGTTCAATTTCTCTTTACTTTCTGCTTATGAACTATGTTGGTATTTTTCATTAGGCATCAAAGTGCATTGCTTTTCCCTGTACATAGCTGAAGTTAATTTTTTTTACAGGAATCAAATCTCAAATACTTCCCTTCTCCAGCCATAACCATAAATCCCGAATTAATATAGTATATGTTTATATTGCACATATGTATATACATAGGTACATGTATATGTGCATATAAATATATATGGAAAGAGGCAGGGGGAGGGCAGAGATTTTGCCTGAAGAAGGCGGCTATCTGAAAAACTGGACACGTTTGGAGAGGGAGATGTGATGGACATTGCAAGTATTAACTCCAGTGATGTTTAACAGTTTCGTGTCTTGGGACCATGACAATATCTCTTTAGAAGTGTGGACATCCTTGGTCTTGAAGGACATTTAGGGGAAAGTATTTTAAAAGAAACAGAGAGGTTCCATTTGTTGTGGGTACAAATTGTGCAGGATTTTTTTTTAATCAAGTTCTTAATTTTCTTTATGAGTTTTTTTCATTAGCATTCTCTTTCTTCCTCCTTTCTTATCTATTCTTCCCTTCCACTCCATCTGAGTTTCCAGACCATCACAGCCACTCCACGTATTCGCCTCCCCGCTACTAGGCAACTAAGAGAAGAGGTGATTTGGGGCTGTGCGGGGTAGGGGGGTGGATTAGAGCAATCCTCTGCGAGGCTTTTCCATGGTAGGTTCCAATTGCTTTTCCAGAGGGGGTTTGTTCAGCAGAAAAATCCATTACTGTGGCCTCTGAGATATCCAGGAAGAGCTGAAAAGTGACCAGGAGATAGCGCTGCCTACTCACCTGGCCCTGGAGTCAGTCGGTTACTCTCAGGTGTATCTGACTTGTTCTGCCTCAGACCTAAGACCCCACAGGCCAGTAGACTCCTCAGGCTGTGGAGGAGCGCAGGCTACACTACCGGGCTGACAATGTGGCAGGGGCCTGTGTAGCAGGATTGGAAGCGCACATATCAGCGGGTGGCTGGTTGAAAAGCCTCCTCCGGTGGGTTTTAGAGGGCCCGGTGTAAAACCTGGAGGTTTACTCCAGGACAGGAGCGGTTCCACGCTTGACTCCTGAACCTCTTTAATCCTTTGGGGTGGACTCCAGCTGACTGCAGCGCACGTGGTGAGATGTCTGGAGCACCTAGTCCACAGGGCTCTACCCACACACCCCAGGTAATCCAGCACGCTTCTCAGAGGAGCCTATGTTCATATTTTAGAGTTCATTTTACTCTGATCAAATAACTCCCACTTTTGGTGATAAAGGGTATCGTCTGTTGGGGTGAAGGCAAATTTTCTGAAATTTCAGGGGCAGCTAGAGTTATACCTGTTTTAGTATTTTTATTTATCCTTCTCATTTGGTCCAATTTGACTCTGTTTCATCAGACATCAGAGCTTATTCTCCACTTCCAGCAATCTTTCCTCCTCTTATTTATTTATTTAAACGGAAAACTTTCTCTATTCCATTCTTCTTTCAGGTTATGCAGAAAATCAGCACGAGCAGGATAATCTTTGTGTGCTCAGGCGAAGACCCTCTACCTCCCAAATTAGCAGGCAGTAAGCAATAAGTTAGAGCCCAGGGAGCTTAAAAAAAATGTGTCTAGGGTGGATTTTGGTGTGCTAGGGATCTCTGAGAGTAACATTCATTCCCTAGATAATCACCCTATTCTCCTCAAAGACAAGACAGGAGTCAAAGATTTTTTTTTTTTTTTTTTTTTTTTGAAGTTTAGGCCTTGCTAGTAGAGGAAAGTTGTGGGAAGGGAAATGAGAACAGATCAACAAAGGTAAAGAAATTACCACTACCTGTAATTTCCAAGGTATAATTCATTTTAAAATCCATGTCAAAAGTTACCTACAAAAGAGCAGGAATGTTTTCTAAACAGTTTCTAAATAAAACTTTAGATAACAATTCCTAATTTATGCCAGTTTTAAACAGTCTTTCAGAGTTTTAGTCTATGTCTTTCATATGACTTTCTTTCATTCACTATTCATTCATTTATGCACCCAATATGGTATGCCTACCTCACTAAGCAGGATGTTTTGGTTACTTTTGTGCAGTTTTGTTATTATTGTTTTGTTTTGCCTTCCATAGATTCTTCTCACAGAGGAAAGCACAACTTACACATTCATGTCCTAGTGATTGGCTGCTTTGTCATGGCAGGAATGTTAATCCTACTTTGTAAAATTTGCTACCATTGTTCAATTAAGAATGTGTATAGGATGTCTCATGTTTTGTAGAATGGCAGGTAATTTGGAAATTTAAAGTGGGTCTCTGCCCTTACATAGCTGTGAAAGAGAAACAGCATCTTGCTAACTGCTGTTGATCATTTACCTCTTTGAAGGCAGCACTTGGTGGTTTCCTGATATTTATGTAAACTAAGGTGTTGGTCCTGAACTATTGTTTAGAACATAGGAAGAAACATTTGTCTAAGTCTCACAAGAGAGACTAAGCTGGGTCAAGGGCATATGGGGTACATCTCTTTTCTTTATTATCCAATTCTATTGTCTGTGAGTTGGCAGTGACAGGAAAAAATTCTTTTTGCTATAAACCAATTACTTCAGGAAAAAAGCCAAAGTTTTAACATGAAACTTCATTTAACTGATTCTTTTAAATATAATAAGATTTGTTAGATGGAACATATGTTTCATAATTTTCATTTGATAATGAATACTTTTGCAAATTGTGAATATTTCCTAATTTAATTATCAGAAGCACTCTGTGGTCGTAGATTTTGAAACATAATTTCTTTAAGTGTATCGATTAATACAGTCCTAGTTTCTCTTATGAGATGATAATTCCAAGTTTTGAAGACAGGAAGTGGAATCAAACTTACTGTATAGAAACATTATTATAAGGAAATAATGGGAAAAGATGAAGAAAGACAAGACAAATGATAAGATGCAACCATTACACAGAAACACAAGGTTTGCTTTAATTTATATGTTTTCTTTTTTTTTTATTTTTCTTTTTTTATTGGTTGTTCAAAACATTACAAAGCTCTTGACATATCATATTTCATACATTTGATTCAAGTGGGTTTTGAACTCCCAATTTTACCCCAAATACAGATTGCAGAATCACATCTGTTGCACATCCACATTTTTACATAATGCCCTATTAGTAACTGTTGTATTCTGCTACCTTTCCTATCCTCTACTATCTCCCCTCCCCTCCCCTCCCATCTTCTCTCTCTACCCCATCTACTGTAATTCATTTCTCTCCTTGTTTATTTTCCCATTCTAATTTATATGTTTTCAAATTTAGTTTTAATACAGTGCTTCTGTTGACTTCTCTTAGGTCACTGAAGAATAAGAAATCAATACAGAAATGAAAAGTTTAAGGCTGGAGCCACACAAAACCAAAGCAATCACATAAAATATGAAAATTATAATAACATATTTTGACTAATTGAACACTCGATTTTACTGACTTTTTAAAAAATCTGAATTTACTATCAATTTTGGTGTTATGTAGAGTCATACAAACTAGAGGGTCAGTCAAGCCTAGATAAACCAGAATCTGTATTATCTGTGCAGAAAAACTCAAGTAGAGATTTTGTTACAAATTTAATCAATAAAGACTACTAAATTGAATATTTCAAGATTCACATTGATAACTTTGCACAAAATATCTGTTGCTGTAAGGATACAAGTAGAGAAACTTCAGTTTTAAATATTTTTCCTTGGGAATTTTCTGATGGGTTGTTGAAAGCTTCTGAATACATGGGATGAGATACCTAAGTTTTTCTATGTTTTATTCATCAACTCTAATACTTGTATCTGCTCAATACAGCAGTATTATATTAAAAAATCTATAGAGGACTAAGTTTAAAAATCTAGATAGGTGTTTTCTTATTGAAGTAAACTTACTTCTTTAGGAATAACTATCCCTGTAGGTAAGTGGATTAAACTGTGAGCATCATCTGAGAGATACCAAGAAATTCTTGCTTTCTTCAACCTGGATGTCAACCATGAAATTCTACCAAAAGAGACTACCTCCTTCTTTTAAGCATTGCCCTCTTCTTTTAATACACTTAAATAGGAACATCATAGTATAAAAATAACACACCGTCTACTAGTAATGTGAGATAATTTATATTGAGCATCTCCCCACACCATAGGAGTGGGCTACAATAACAGAAGAGTGTGTCCCTCCATGAGCACAAAAGGAGTTCTATCAAAAGAAAAAGAGAGATAGCCAGTGGTCAAAGAAGACAATTAAATGTAGCAGACACTCATTGACTATCTATGATCTGCGACACAAGTTTTGTTTCCCACAATTTTGTGTAAGGATAAAGTTTTGGCATCCATAAGTTTCCATCAAATTTATGATCACAAACTCCCAATGACAAGGGTCTGGAAATCACTGAAATATTTTAAAAAAAGGTCAATGTTAGAGAAATGTTTCCTGGGATTTACCTACATGTGATTTAATGCAGATGGCTATAAAATATGTAGAATTCTTTAATAAGTTACTGAGATTTGGCATAGTAAAATAGATAAAATAGGCTTGTGACCTCTTGGGGTAGGGGAGCAAGAATTTAAGGTGTATGTGATACCTGTAGAATTTGTTTCAGTATTCAAGAAAATAAGGCATTGTAAACTCACTGCTGACATTAATGTGGAAATTATAATCTTAACATGTCCCCAATGTTAGTCCTTAATTACACTGAAATTTAAAAGGTCAAAACCAAAGTTGCCTGTTTGAAAAACAATTCTTTCATCTAATTTCATCTTTTCTCTTTCTTTTCTTCTTCATTATATTGAATAGAATGGTATATGTGAAGGTAAAAATATAATTTTCTTTTTTTTAAATATTATTTTAGTTGTAGATGGACACAATATCTTTATTTTGTTTATTTATTTTTATGTGGTGCTGAGGATTGAACCCAGTGCCTCACTCATACGAGGCAAGCGCTCTACCATTGAGCCACAGCCCTCGCCCCTAAATATAATTTTCTTAAAATCATAAAATCTTTCCATTCTTAGGTAACACCTCATTTTGTAAGAAAATAAACTGTGCAATATGTAATAAAATAATAACTTTCACAAATATTGTTTTATCTTCCCCATATTTAAAATTCATTGCAATGCAAAATGTGCATAACGTGCATACAGAATGTATTCTTTGTTGAGATACAAGTTAAATGAGTCAAAATGGGTCTTTCTTAAATAATAGCGTATACTAGCTGTCAGAAAGCAATAGTTTACTTAGGCAAAGCAGTAGTATTTTTATTCAGTAAATATTTATAAAGTTCTTTTATCTCAACATCTTTAAAGTTAGGCTTCAAACTCATATTGTACTGAAAATTTTATCTTTAATACTAACATACATTTTTTATTAATATACAATCAGTTTGCATTTAACAAACCATGTAATATCACAGAGAATGGAATCAAGAACATCTAACACTCCAAAACCTTGAGTAAATTGGGAGAAACACAACCAAGTCTCTTTCTCTAGCAACTCCAAATTGTCTCTTTTGTATTTATCACCCTACATATTTGATTTCTCATGTTTTCCCTTTCTTGTTTTATTTTAGTACTCACAAGCAGGTCCCCAACAATAACTAATGCATTAATGATGTTTTTTAATATCATTCTGTAATTCTGATAGAAATAAAACTTTATAGCAGATGTTTCAGTTACATTTTAGTAATAATATTAAAACATATTGCATCTCTGTAAATTAACTCTGTAAAGTTAAACATACTACTTTTGCACTACATGTTTACTAAAGCAGTATATATATATTTATGTATACTGCTATCCATGTAGTTTATAAATTTACCTTTATCAAGCATTTTCTGTGCTTTGCTACTATTCAATAAAATGTCAATGTTTCTAAACCTTTGAGTATGTAGTTCAGTCCAATAATTTTTATAGAAAAATCTATTATAAATAGATGAAAACATTTTGAAGGAAAGAATGTATGGGAAAAAAGTTTCTTTAATGTTTTCTTTCTAAAAGCAAAAGTACTTCCTTCAAAACGGTTTTGTGTTTTTCTATTTGTATATATTAAAAGAAACACTAATACATCAGCAGCTTCAGTTTTTCTGAGCTGTGTTTTATTTCCTTTGGTCTAAAAATGTTTATAACAAAAATAGTTTTTCAGGTATTCCCTTTTCCTGATGAGCTTTCTAATCAAATATTTTAAAGAAACCAAATTGAATAAATAAGCAGCAGTATTTGTTACAATTAGAGGTGCTCAGCTTCCAATGTGCAATGTATTTGCTCAATAAATTTTTTCATATGAATGTGCTTATTTTCCTTCTTGTAAATTCAATAATTTTACATGTACTTCAAATACTCCAGAGAAAGACTGCTATTGCAAGAAATCAGGTAAACTTTTCTACTTAGCAGAGTTTTATGGTTATCCTAAATAAATATGTATGCTTGGAACAGTACAGACTGGAGTGTTGAGGTGTTGTTTCCTCTCTTCTTCCTTGCTTTATTCTTTTTTTTTTTTTCTTTTCCTTTGTTCTTCTCTAGGATAGATCTTTTTCTAGCTCTAGTGGACTACATCATTTCAGTCTTTTTTGTTTCTCTGCAATTTGATGTAGGTAACCAACATAAACATTATGTTTTTCTCATCTCTGTAATACATTATATGTGAGTTTATGATAAATAGGTAGCCTTTTCAATTGTATGCATATTATAGGTTTCATCTTTTTAAAATACTCTTGTGAACTGTGATGAGCAATTCTTTTGACTCAGTGAGTGTGGACTTAGAAAGTATTGTAGCAGAGAGAGTGACATTGACTTGATAATGCTAGATATGAAATACAAAATATAAATAATAATGTAATAAAATATCTCATTAATTTTTTTCAGGAAATGATTCAAGTACAAGATGTTTAAAAACATAGTCCATAAAACATGTGTTAAGCCAATGTTATTCATAACGTTTTCAGTATCTTGTTATGTGTAGTCTTTAAATGAGCTACTTGCTAAATAATTGAATACTGTATATATTTATTTATTTACACTCAAATTGTGATGATCAGAGAAGAAGGATTTATTTTTTTATAAATATTGTTTTCCAGGCTTTCCAATGGTTTATATTAATTTTGAGAGCACTTTATGACTTTAATGTTAAAAATAGCATGTTATCTTTGATGGAAAAATAATGGATAAGAATTATTTTTTAAAATATTTACCAAACGTGCCTTTCTGATTCTTTTAGAACCTGAAAAGATTCTATTGCCAAACATAGTCTACTAAAAGCAGTTTGCATTTGGAAAAAAGAAAAAGGATTACTGATGATGCAAAATCAGATTTTTTGAATCTTGAAATTAATTATTTTAAACGAATACTTGAATGATAGCTGTTTTTTCCGTATTTTTATTGGTGCATGATAATCATAAACTAGCTGTTTTTTTAAACAAAGTGAATGTCACAAAAATAAGAATGTTAAATACTAAATTCTTTTTTTTAACAGCAGTAATAAAGAATGGCAAGAATCTATGTAGAAATTTAATTCTTCGCAATGATATATAGAAGAGTCTGTGTTTTATTTTGGGATTTCTGTCATCCTAGGTATTTTGGAAATATTTGCTGTGTCTCAGGGGATTGTAGGAATACGAGGAGTTTTCAGCAACAAATTTTTAGCGATGTCAAAAAAAGGAAAACTCCATGCAAGTGTAAGTAGAACCACTTTATACTTGTTCAAGGTGTTATGGAGATTTTACATTTGAAACAAAGAATCAATTGATCTTCCAAATTGGTAGAAAAGACAAATGCCTTGCTTAGAGTATTGGTTTTTGGTAAAATTATACGTTCATAAAACCAAGAGAATTCTATGTGGGTCTCTAATCATTTACTATTTTATTGACTTGAAAAGGTATTAGAGTCTATAAAAAGTTTTCAAGGTGAATGTATTTGGAAATAACTTTTTCAAAGTGGTTGTCATCTTTTATTTATAGAAGGGCCCAAATGTGGAGTAGTATTACAATACTGCATAACATTTAAAATTTTCATGTTTGTGGAGATGGTGGATGTTCAGTAAATGAATTTCTTGTTTAATCTTACAAACTATTTACAATGTTAAAAAATCGAATCTAAGTAGCATAACATATTTTCATATTAACAAGTAGGAAGGGAAGAAGCCGGTAATAAGAAGTCTTTAAACTTCAATGGAAATTTTTTATTTGATGAATTTGAGGAATTTTTCCCTTGTATTTTGTCACATCAAATATAATGACTTCTTAATGCTATAAAGACTAATTTTGCACTTTAAAAATTGCTTCACATCACTTACAAGGTTTGGCATCAATTTATAAATTATTTATTTTTTTGCTTTGTTATTAAAACACCCTTCACATGGGAAATATTAAAACATTTTAAAGGTAATAAAATACATGTAGCTTAGCTTTCCCACTCTGATTCTGTTTATTTATATTACTATGTATACATGGCACTTAAAAATGATTTATGTTTTCTCTGTGGTATACTAGCTTTTTTCACATTAAATAATTTTAAAAATTTTTCTTTGAAATTAGTTCTTTAGCTCATATTCTTTTTAATTCTTAATAAATGAATTGTTGAAATATTACCTTTCCTATTTTCAAAGTATATGGAACTTTTAGTTGAATGCAGCTAATTGAAAATTACTATTTATTATTTTTATTTTATGTAGACTTTTGAGAGTTGCACTTTGTTAAATGTGTAAGACCTTTATAATTTTTCTTTCCTTTAGATAAAGGTGATTTATTAATAATTTTGAAGGATTCTCTAGAGTTGGAGCAATTTCTATAGTCACTTCAGGTTTAAATGAATAATACATATAAAGTACTTAGAACAGTGTTTGTATATTGGTATTATTGTGTTGAATAAACACTACCTATTAGTATATGTAATAAACTAAAAGTAGTATAAATATAATAAACTACTAAAATCTTAGCTTATTAAGATACATAGAAAACCCCTTTGTTTCAAACTTTTTAATAATTCATTGCAAGAATTATAAAATTATTTACCTATTTCATATTCTGAACTCATTATTATGCTCTAGCAAGCTATAATATAGTATTTATAAAATAATTGTTCTGATGGAGCAATTAAAAATCTTTGATTTTTGTATTTATGTATTTTAAGGGACAAAATTCTGCATTACTGTGGAAAAAGACAAACATTTCATTTTATTAAAAAATAACATTTGATTTTTAAAAATCCACATACAGATTTTGAAAATAATGATTAAATGCCTCAGGACAGAGTAACTTCTCCCCAGACTACTTTAAGGTTGTAAAAGATTGAAACACCTTCAAAATCTAAGCATCAGAATAATATATGATGTACATAAGGAAATTTTCTCTCATTGGTTTGTTGGTTATGCATGAAAATTTTAACTTTGAAAATATTCTGATTTATGCACATTTATACATGCAAAAAATAGATTCAACTTGGACCAGCTTAAGGATAATTGCCACAGAAAGCAAAGTATTATAAATGGATGCCAATTAGAAAGGTCAAACTGAGAGGTTAGGATACATGATTCCTCTGTCAAATGCAAGTAACAAATTTCTAGAAATTTGACCCAAATGTCTAAGGATGACTGGTGGAAATAATGCAGATAATGCAAAAACAGCATCTGTTATTCTTTTTCATCTTGGCAGGCTAAAGTTATTTCATGGAATAATGACTTTTAAACAGTACAAAGCAAGTCTTGCTCTTGTCACTCACTGAAGCTCTTTGATATAAAAGTCATTCTGATGACTTTGAGCTGAATTGTAGATAAAAAAAATTAAGCCCTGTGATTATGTGGATTCTTTTTAAACCAATTGTTCAATCCCACTTTCTCTTATCTGAGCTTGTATTAGCACTTTCTCTCTATATGGAAACCTAATTAAATTATAAAGTGATTTATTTTTAAAGAAGTTGAATTCAGAAATAGCATTAATCCTAGCAATTATCACTTTTATGCCCAGCTTTCCTGTTTTCAGCTTCTAGGTAATAAACATGTTTAAAAATTGTTTTCATAACTTAAATATGATTATTTGATGGAGTTTTGATTTTTATAAAATCACATCATCATCCTAAAGGCCAACAACTCATACTTTTAGGATTAGAAGTATAATTTGTGAGTTACTTTAAACTAATAATTGTGCAGAAGTATTTTAAGAGTTACCTTTAAATTTCTATCCACAAAGTAAATGTAGAGAGTAAGTGTAGAAATGTAAAATATTCATATAATCCTGGGGAAAGTAGTCCCCCACTGCACTGGGAAATATTCATGGATAGTTGTAGGTTTTCAATTTGGTTTTTATAGTAACAATCAGATAATTAAAAATTAGTTACCAGGCAGGGATAATGGACTTTCAGAGTCCTGTAAAAGCTCTTTCACTCACATTATCTCATTAGATAATGAGGTGAGGAAAGAACCTGAGATGTTAAATTATTTTCCTAAGGTCACACAGTTAACAAGTTATTGAACCAGAACTATATCCTCTTACAATGTTCTGTCTCTTTTTAAACACTGTAGTGCTTGGAATATAAAAGTTAGCTTGAACTAAGACATTACATTTTGGAACCAATTGCATTGTTTTCATGTATTTACAAGGATTAGTAAGTGCATGGCTTAATGATATTTTCACATAACCTATAACAAATGAATACTATGGCATATCCTTGGAATATTTATAGTATTTTTAAAATACTAAACAAGTAAATAATTTTTGGATATGTAAAGTTGCACATTTTCTTCTAGCTCTCTCTTTCTGATTCCAAACACTTTTATTGTACTGACTCCCCTCCATCTCTGCCCCCCTTTACGTCTCTCTTCCAGAGAGGAAGAGATGTGTCTGCCACAGAACGTATCAGAGACTTTTACAAATGTCGGTTATCCAATGTGATGATGTGTGGCTTAGGGGAACCTTCTCAGTTTGAACTTTCAAAACAGAAAAGATCAGTTTTGTCCACAGAAATCTTTTAGTAAGTGCTTCATCTATCATCAGTGGACCCAAAGATGTCCAACTGAAATAGCCCAGAGTGAGTAGATTTAGGCAACATGGATGCGGATTTCATTTTTATGCTGAGTTTTTAAATTCTGTAAGAGAAATTTCATTTGAACTTTAGTTGTGTAAATACGCTGGGCTGGCTGTTCTTTCGAGTCTCTCATTCACATCTAACTTTCCTTAAAACTTTTGGTTTACTCTAAATATACAACACAGTCAAATTCCTACCATGCAGGTATTTTCAGCATTCTTTACAGGATGAAGGTGTATGGTCTTCACCTTGTCAAAATGTGTCAGGAATCATGGCGAGTAGGAGGAGATAATTGCTTCCCAGAGAGCCATGAGGGTTAGTCAGAGCCATCACTGTGGCCTCTGCTCTTTGTCTCAACACTTTCCTATGCTGAGGCACTTTCTGAGTCTGTCATTCTCTGTCTGTTTCTGCTCTCCCTCAGGTTTGGGATATTTACCGCAAAGACCCCTTAGAGAATCTTTCTAGATTCTTCTGTGAATGTGGTTAGATCACCAAGGCTGAACCCTGCTCCACTGCCTTACTGTGAAGAATAAGCACAAGGGTGCTTATTCTTTCTATTGCTTGGCTTTACCAACCAATAATGGTAGGAAAATTACAGTAGCAATCTATGGGATGATTAAGTGAAATGAGATAATACATACAGAACGCTGAGAGTAGTGCTGGACAAGTGTTCAGGGCTTAAAAGTTTAAACAGAACTTCCTGGCAGCTGGTGGACGATCTTCAGTCTCTTTCTTTCGGATTTTGAGGTCAGTTATTTAGAGAAGACCCCAGTCCTATTTATCATGGAAGTTATTCCCCTTGTATCTAGACTTTTTGTACATACAGTGAATCCTTATCTACCTACTGAGTTTTCCTTTTTCCAAGGAACCTAATTTGAAAGCAAATTCCCAAGTTTCTGCTCTTAAAAGGCGAGGATTTCCTAGAGTCATAATCTTGTAATTCTTAGTGTCCATCTTTTCTCCCCTGCCTCCGGCCCCTGCCAAAATGAAATCCTATGAAAGGTGGTTATCATGTATTCTTTGGCATTTTCGTAAATTATGTGTGATAGCTCACTGTCTATTGGGGGAAAACATGTCAGCTTATTTTAAAGATCCAGAGAGAAGCATGTGTTGGAATTATTTTTGTTTCGCAGGGTTTTAGGGGATCATGTTTTGAAGGAAACCTAATTGCAGAGTTTACGAAACAGGCATGGAATGTATGCTTGATCAGCCCTGAGCAAGGACTAGAACATCCTCCTTTCCTGGTTTCAGAGGGTGCCAGCTGGCTTGCTAGGATGAGAATCTGGGCTGGACTTCCTGTGCTGGGGGCAGAGTGAGGAGGAGTCAGCAGCCCCTAAAGTTGGGCACATTTACTGGAAGGGGAAATGGAGGCTTGAGCAATACTTATCTTCATCCTTAAAAAAATAACCTAATAAGCTTCTCTCTTCCAGTCAAGACCATGAGCTTTATCAAGACCTTTGCCTATGGGCTGGGGTTGTAGCTCAGTGATAGAACACTTGTCTCACATGCATGAGGCACTGGGTTCGATCCTCAGCAACACATAAAATAAATAAACTAAAAAAAATAAAGATATTGTGTCCATCTACAACTAAATGTGGGTATATACATATATACACACACACGTGTGTGTGTGTGTGTGTGTGTGTGTATCTTCGCT